AGCCACACCTGTCCTGTACTTCCTGGACCCTCGTCATCTGCACACAGTGGCTGGCATGCAGGAAGCACTCGATCAACATTTCTCCGTGGAGCCATCCCCCCAAGCCTCTGTATACCCTCCCCGAGGTCATGGAGGCTCTGGCCCCTCTGGCCTCCAAGGGGCTCTGGCCGCTTCGTGGAGCCCACGCCCCTTAACTTCTGGAGTCCTCACCTGTTATCACGACTCCCACCCTTGCCCTTCTCCTGAGCCTGACGTGGGCTCATCGCCTGACTGCTCCTACTGTACCGCTCAGTGGTTCCCTCTTAACCAGGCCACATCTCCATTGGGCCCGTTTCTGTGCCCTCTCACACACCCTGATGGCCCATCCCCCTGCCTCTGCAGAGAACCCGCCTGGCAATCAGGGTCCCTCAAGCTCAGCACTGCTGATGTTTTGGGTCAGATAATCCTACGTCATTGGAGGCTGTCCTGTGCTCTTGTCCTGTGCAGCATCCCTGACCCCTGGAGGCCAACAGTAACACCTCTTCACGTTGTGACAACCGAAAACGTCCCCAGACACTGTCAAACGTCCCCTGCGGGCAAAGTTGTCCCCACTTAGGAATCACTGTGCTTGGTCACCCCTCCTGTTATTTCTAGCCCTTGTATTGGCTGAGGATCCTCGGCCAAAACCTCAGAACTGGGCTGACGGGTGCCACACGTTGGGCAGGTCTTGTACCATCAAGGGCCCCTGATCCGAACCTTCCAAACTTCCCTCGTACACACTCTCAGGCTGGTTCGTGCTCAAACGTGGCCTTGGCCTCCCCGAGAGGAGGGTGACACACGCTGGCAAAACTGACACAAGAAGGGTTGGGTGCGGAAGGAGAAGAAAGACAGGGGAGGAAGGAGGAGGAGATCCCGAGGAGAAGACGCGGATGGACACAGCGGTATGGGTGGCCCAGGGAGGAGCTGAAATCTGCCTGCGCTCTCAGAAAGGCCAGGCCGAGGCCCCAGGGCTCCTGGTGCGTGGTCCGGCGGCCCGGTCCCTCTCACTCTACTGCCCCTGTGAGCAGCCACACCCCAGGCACCTGGCTGGGCAGCGTTGTTCATGATCCTGATGAGTCTTTCGGCCAGGAGATGGTTGTAGGTGGTCTTGTCGGCCGCACTGGGCACCGGGAGCTGGATTTGCTCTAGTTTCTCAGGATCCATGCCTGGAACGCACAAAGGGGCGAGCTGTCAGGGGGCAGCCTCATGAGAACCCCGCTCATCCTGAAAGGCGCCCCAGGAGGCGCTGCCCAACCTCGGCGACCCAGGGTCCATCTCCGTGACTTCTGCCATGACCGGTGCTGCCTGAACTAGAGCTCACTGCACAGTTCTCCGAAATGGAACTTGAATCAGTACATATCAAAACATACATTTTCTATCCCCACGTGTAAGCTGGAAATCAACATGCCGCCACGCTGACAGGCGGTGTTAAAAAAAAAAAAAAAGACTACGCTTTTACATTTTAGTCAAGGATCGTTGACTTGCGTCAACTCATCGCGGCCCAGGCCTGCTCTCTCTGTTAAAGACGGGACTCGGCGGATCCTTAGGAGGTGCGGAAGGCACGCCAGCCCTGAAAAGTGACACGCTCCCGGACATAATCGGGGGACACGGGAAAGGAGTGACTTCTGCACGACGTGCCACTCGGCCACCTCATGCTAGGCCTGTGTGCCACCAGAGGCCACCCATTATCAGACACATTCCACGGTGGGGGAAACGCACACGGAGACGAAGCGACCGGACGGAAAGGAAACCGCAGTCACGCCCGGCAGGTGCGCCTCTAGCTCCTGGCAGAGAACTCGATGAGCGGGGCAGGTCACTCAACGAGCACACAGGCGGTGGGTGGGGGGCACCGCACCAGGCGAGGGGCGGGGCCGGCGAAGAGAGACCGGGCTAAGCGCTCGCGACAGAGAGGCGCAAATACAAAGAGGTCGACGGCGCGGATCTACCTTCAAGTGGCAAAGGAATCCTTTTCCTGCCAGTAAACACTGACGGCGTTTCGAACACAACAGACAAGACACGGGAGAGGTGGCTGTGAAGGGGAAATGCGAGGGCACAGAGTCCAGCTGGGCACTGAGTGTCAGTTTCCTTGAAGTGGAACCTGGGGGGCCGGGCGAGGAGAAGACCTGTGAGGGCGACTCCGGCAGGCCAGGTGCGGAGAGGGGCCCCGAATCCTTACCCCCCTTCGAAGGTGGCTCTGGAAAAATACACTTACAGAGACAAATGGTTTGCCTGATCCAAGGCTGGAGAGCTGAATGGATTGTTTGCGCTTGAAGCACGTCTCTTCCTGTTATTCTACCAAAGGGGGAAGGTGACACTTCTCGGAACTCTTGAAATACGGCCCCTTGAGTACTAGATGACGCTTCATTTAGAACCTTGACAAAACAGTGGAGGACAGCACTGAAGAGCTGCTTGTCTGGATTCTAAGTAACTCCTCCACACACGCATTGACGTAATAAACCATAACAATATATCTTGCTTTATTGAATTCCTTCCAGCTCCGAACCAAAGGCTAAGCCATGCCGGGGAGATGACACGGGTGAGGGACGGCCTGAGGGCTGGAGCTGGGCCGTTCTCCCTCTCCCGCCTCACCAGCAGCGGCTCCGTCAAAACACTTGACGGCGAGGAAAATTCAATTTGCGGATTCTAGATCCCATCTTGATGCTAAACGTCTAACTCCGACGCACGCTGCTTTATTAAATGGCAAAAAGAACATCAAGGGAAATTTTTCTGGCGTCCGTTTTTCCTCCCCAGAGATGTCAACACCATCCTGACATCGCTCTAATCCTCCCATTTCTGGCTCCCTGGGACCTGGCAGCCAGTGGTTCCAGGGGAGAAGTGCTCCTGGGCCGGACCATCTCTCGGCCCCCTTCAGCGAGGATGGCAGGAGGGGCCCAGCCGCTGGCTCCCTCGGGGACGCAGCAGGGGTCACCAGAACTGGGACAGTCAGGGACTTGAACCGGTTCTTGAACTTCCATGGCGAGCTCCATTTTGTCTCTTTCCTATTAGGGCCCCCACTCCCTGAGAATTTGTCAAAAAATGAGGAAATCTGTGGCCAAATCCTCTCTCGACAGGAAGAAAAACACTCCACGGTTATCATGACTTTCCTCAAGTGGCGACTCCACTCTCTGTGAAGCGGAGGGGTGGGGGGGTGGAGGGGGGAGGGGACCCCGAGGGACTGAAACAGTTCCTTCTACAACTTCACAGGACCAGAGTCCAGCACAACTTCCCCCTTTAGTTGGAAATGAGGGCCCAGAGATGTTAAGTCACGTCTCCGAGGCCACAGAGCAAGGAAGCAGCACAGTTAGAATAGGAAGATTCCAAAGGTGGACAGGGTGCAGCTAACTTCTAAATGCTATGCTGTTTGGGGGCCGACTCAGGGATGCGCCACCCAGGGAGGATCCTGAAGGAGCGAGCATTTGCCTCGAGCTTCACAGGCAGCAGCTGCAAGGCGTGGGCAAGAGCTTGCGGAGGGTGGAGGTGGGGACTCTGGAAGGAAGCGACGAGGCAGACGTTGGGGGAAAGGGACGGGCAAGGCTTGGACGCCAAGATCCCGGGACGGCAGCTAGCGGGAGACGACGTGAATCGGTTGTGCTCCTTCATGCCTACTCTGGAGTGGTCTCCACTGCCCCCCGGCCACTCAAGGCGATCCCTCTCCTCAAGGCACTCTTCCCCACACTCTACGTGAGGTGGATTTTACCGCCGGCCAACAGGGAGACAGAGAACGGGATCGACTCCATACGACACATGGAAAAATTTGCAAAAACCCCTTTGAACGTCTCTGTTCCTTCCCCAAAGTTCCTCCTGGGCCACGTGCCTCACTTCCTCCCCATCTCTCTCTTTCTCCCACCGTGGCCTCTAACCACCACCCCCGTCCCCCGCCCCATTACTCTGAATTATCCCATTCCAGACCTTGGCTTTCAAGGCCCGTGTGGCAATTCAAAAGCTTCATTCTTCTGGGTTCAAACCAATTAGTGGCTGAGGGTTGTTATTAACAAGGCCAATGTCACGGTATGACCAGAACATGCATGTGAACAGGAAAACGGCGCACATGTGTGCGTGGACACGCACCCCCTCCACACACCCACACCCCCCCCCCCACACACACACACAGGTTTTAGGCACTAAAAGGCAGATTTTGTTGCAAGCCTGAGTTCCTCTGCAAGCCATTTCCAAACTCCGACTGAAGTAAACACTGTGGATAATACACTGTCCTATTTGCTTCAACCCTTAAGTGCTGAGCAATAGAGAAATTCCAAAGAAACCCAGATGTACTTCACATGGCCTGGGAAGATGTGCGAGCACATTCAGACTTCCAGCAGACCACACGCTTCTGGATTCCCTCCCCGCTGGGGTCAGATCCCTCTCTGTCCAAGTGAGTCAGAAAGGGTCTCCCTCTGCATTATTTCCACCCAGGGACCACGGGGTTGGGGGGAGGGTGGGGACAGAACTCCCAACTGACCCAGCAAGTCCGAAATGGAAGGCAAGGGTGTGGCTCCATGATGTCAGAAGCTTCCCCTCTAAGTTCTGATTTCTGGATTCTTCCTCCTTAGCAATAGCCCCCATCTGGGACAGGGGTAGAAAAGACCCAGACCAAAGGTACAGAGAAAGACGGAGACAGACAACCCTGGATAAAGAGACCACAACGGAACCGGGTAAGTGATGGGCAAAAAACTTGTTTTCTTTTGGCCGAGGTCTCCTTGGCTGTAGTCACGCAAGCATTGCCAGCTTTGGAAAACTATAGACCCACTATTTCGAAAGCTAACCAGATGTTGGGCCGATTTCCAATGTACTTCCAGTTCTGATTATGTGTCACTGGAGATCCAGAATGATGTTTTGCCAGCTCTCTGCATGGCGAAAGCCTCCCTTTATCCTGTTACCTCTCAACCTTTCCCATACCTCTCATCTGTGTTCCAGTAACTTCTCAGCAAGATAAAACAAAACCCAAAAAGCCCAAGATTCCTCTCGGGTAAACAATGATAAATGGAGGGCGCGAGAGGGTGGTGGGTGGAGTAGGGAAACCTTGAAGAACACGAAAGCTGCAGAACTCACCCCCCTCCCTCGGGCCAGGCCTCTGCAGACCTGACAAAGGAGAGATGGCTGCATTTGCTATTACAGATATGAACCAGAATTCATTATGTGGCCCAATTGAATCACAACGAGTGCCTTCCTCCAACCGGTCAACCCTTTCCACAGTGGGGTATTCATTTCGGTGCAGCATCTAATCTATTATGATTTACTGGAAGGCCTGAGCTAACATTTGGTTTTTATTAACATTGCTTTTATGTTAAAATTGTCTTATGATGAAAAATCTATCGGAGAGAGACCATTTCATTAGGGGCCCTGCTTGGAAGGTATGGATCTAGAAGAGAGAGGCTGAAGGTTAAGTGCGGCTAACTGGCTAACTGCATGCTGCCTAACCAAAAAACCAGCTGACCAACAGCCAAAAGACCCCCATCAAATGCAGACCCTGGGCCCACAGGCCAGGGCTGGAGCATAAGCCAGATGGCAGCTTCCCACTAGGCAGTTTCCTTTGGGGTCCCCCGGGAACCGGGCTCCCAGGTGCCACACATGAAGCGTCCAGCTTCCTCTCCAAACCTGCTGGATGGCCCACGCTCGCTGATTCTAGAAATGACCACCAGTGGCAGGGTCAGGGACCCGGGCATCACCTAGATTCCTCCTTTGGTGCTCCCTCCCGTCCAAACCAGGCAGGACTCCCTTCCCCCAGCCCTGCTCCTCTCCTCGTCTCCCCATCTTCGTAAATGGCCCCACACAGTTGCCCGAACGTCCCATTCACTCTATCAGCGTGTCCTATTTCTAGTTTCCAAACATATCGTAAAACCTTCCAGTCTTCTCCATCTCTACAGCCAACATGCTGATTCAACCCACATTAGCCCTCACCTGGACGGGTGTGGCGGCTTCCTACTGGGCCTCCCACAACCCCTGCGGCAACCCTCTCCCTCACCCGCCTTGTCTACTTTCCACCCGGTAGCCAGACTGGTCTTCAAAGATGTCCGTCTGATCATGTCACTCTTCTACTTAAAAGTCCTTTAGGGTTTCCCACTGCTCTTGGAATGAAATCTAAATTCCTTTTCATAGCCTTCAAGGCCCTCCGAGATCTGGTCCCCACCCGGCTGGTCAGTGCCTCGCTCTGCTTGGCCTCACTTTC